TATCTCCTCTTATGGCTATGAAATATAGAGCACAGTACATAGACTATTATTATATAGATTTATCTCTTTTTTTTCTTTTTTTGTGTACTTAGTGTTAATGTGATATTCTTTTTCTTTTTTGAACCATCAACCTATATACATGAATCACTTTTTATTAATATTAAGGCACTGTGAATTAGTATTACTAATACTATGAATAATTGTAAAGTATTAATTGTATGTATTGTATTGATTGTATTGTCAAGAAAATGACGTTGAAAGATATTGACACATCTTCTATTATAGAAATTTTTGTAAACTTTTTAATATTTTGAATTTTTGTAAACTTTTTAATATTTTGAATTTCCATAAATATTTTTTTTTAAAATTAAACAAAAAAATAACATTGCTAATTCTGCAGCCCACCGTGGCTGGGTTGCAGGCAAGATGGTTATTTGGGATGCTGCACTCTGCTCATGCTTTCACTGGGTTTTTTTTCTCCTCCTTCCTCCTTCCTCTGTTTCTCGTTTGCTAGGGTGCCTCAGCACTGTTTGACATGATTGAATACTACGAGTCCGCCACGCACCTCAACATCTCCTTTAACAAACACATCGGCACCCGGGGTTGGCAGGCAGCTGCACACATGATAAGGAAGGTTTGTACTGATGTTCTCCTAAGTTGGGTTTCTTGAAAACCTTGTAGTTATGGGCAGCCTTGAGGAAGGACCATAGAGGTTGAACGGGAAATCAGGCGGTCATTGACTTAACCACAATTCACCCTCAAATTTCCGAAGCCCCCCGAATCACCCGTCGTCTCGCCGCAACGTCAGCTCCGCCCATCTCAAGTGAAAGATTTGTGAAGTGAGTTTTGCCCCAGTTGTTAAGTGGATCGCTGCAGCTGTTAAGTTAGTAACATCGTTGTTAAGTGAATCGGGCTTCTCCCCATTCACTTTGTGTGTCAGAAAGTCCCAAAAGGGAATCGGGTGAGTGACCCCAGGGACACTGCGACCGTCATAAATAGGAATCGGTTTGCCAAGCATCTGAATTTTGTACGTGTGACCACAGGGATGCTGCAACGGCTATCACTGCAAAATGGTCATAAGACTTTTTTCAGTTCTGTTGTCACTTCGAATGGTCACTAAATGAACTGTTGTAAGTCGAGGACTACCTGTAATGGAAAGGCCATTCATATCTTTTCTCCTGAACGGGAGGCAAATTGTTGGAGATTGACTCTGAGGGAGAGGAGGAACAGCCAACAGGGAGTGGGGTGTGTGCCTCCGGAGGTTGTGGAGGAGGCTGGGCAGTCAGAGGAAGACCCTGGCCCACCCCCTCTCCATCCTAGGGCACACAGGGAGGAGGGGATAAGGGAGAGAGATGAATGGCATGGTCTACAGGGGAGGAAAGGGCCCTGATCCCCTTCATGGGCTGCAGCTGTGAGAACTGGTTAAAAAGACAGACGTGCGTATGGGCCAATGCTGGAAAGAAAGCATGGACATATCTCTAGTCTGTCGTTCCTCTCTGAGTTTGGCGTCCTTCCCAGTGTGTGTTCCGATATCTGTGGATGTCTTCAAGCCCTTATCTTGCCTGGTTCCCTCAATTGCTTCAGTGTGGTTTGTGTTGTTTTTACTCTTTATAATTTATAGGCATTTTTAGTTTAAACGTCATTTCCTCCTTTTCTTAACTACTTGTGGGGAAGTTTTTTTGTCTCCAGTCAAGGATATTTGGAGCTTTGATGCAAAGTGAAGGAATAAAAGGGGCTTCCCCTGTTTTACTGACTGTGTTTTATTTTGTATCCCGCCCTGAGTCATTACACAAATCCTAAGGATGGATTTAAGTCTATCTGGATCTGATTTTGTGTAGGAGGAGGAGTGGCAGCGCTGGGGGCAGAGTTAAAAGAGGGATCAGCCTTGAATCTCTGTGTAGCCACAAACAGTCTTAAGTCCTTGATTCCCATTGACCCGTTATCTAAATCCGAGCAGGTGCAAACCTCTAATGGAGAAGATTCCTGTGCACAGGCAGGCATAGCAATGAGTCAGTTTATTTGAACCTTCACGTGGACCTGGTCTCGTGGGCGTGACACTTTCGTTGTTTTCTTTCTTCCCTAGACAAACTGCCTCCAGTACGTGGATGCCCGCAACACGCCTCTCCTGGATCATTCGGCCCCATTTGTGGCCCGCGCTTTGCGCATCAGCAACAGCCTGGTGGTCTTGCACCTGGAGAACGCGAGCCTGTCCGGTCGTCCCCTCATGTTACTAGGTGAATCAATCGAGGATTAACATTTTTGCACCCCTTTGCCCCCCAGCCCGCTACCTCCACCTTGGACCACCCTGCGTTGCAGTTCTTCCCAATCCCCTGCTAAGAGACCACCAAGCTTCTTGCAAGTAAATTAACATTTTAGGGCACAGAGGGCGTTGTTTTTTGTGTGAAAAACAAATGTCTGGCCTGAGGGTTCCTTGGGGGTCCCGGAGCTTGGTGATTTTCTTGCAGACATTTCATGACCCA